TATAGGCAGTATAGAAACGAATCGAAGTCGCATTTTGATAGCCTTCTGACGATATTCAGCAGCTCGGCAGCACTTTTCTGGAATCTTTTCCTAATGCACTTGGCCATGTTGAAATCATTTTGTAATGAGCAACATTAGGACATCAACATCTTGAATCTGTAAAAGAAAAATCTTCATTTTCAAATTCACAATCAAGAGTCTGTGGCAAATGGCCTTTAGAAAATAAATGTAATGGCCAGGGTACTGTCTCAGTGTACAGTACTTGCCATGCCAACATGAAGACCTGAGGTTGATCTTGAAAACCTCCATATAAAGTCCAGTGTGGTAGCATGTGCTTGTAACCCTAGCACTGATGAGGCAGGGGCAGTCCTGCTGGCCAGCCTCACTGATGTGTGAGCTTCAGGCCACTTAGAGACCTTGCTGGAAAACAAACAAAAAATGAGCTGGTGGGAGAACTCAGTGGATAAAGGCCTTGCCGCCAAGGCTGATGGCCTGCGAGCTATCTCCAGAGTCCATGTACCAGTGGAAGGAGAGAACCCACTCCTTCAATCTGCTCTCTGATCTCTACACATGCATCCCTCAGAATGAGCCAGTCCACAAACAGTAAAACAAAAGGGTAGATAACTTCTGAGGATTGATGTCCCAGGATTGACCTCTGGCCTCCATCAAAAATAATAAAAATAAAAGTGAATGTTTCACCTAAAATAATAATAAAAATAAAAGCAAAATGCATTAAATCACTTGTGGATATAGGCAAAGTATAACTCTGTTTATTTGTAGGTACTTTCTTTGCAATGTATATAGTAGTCTTATGTTTAAAAAGAAGTCTGTGATCAATTCTGTACCGCTATTAAAGACAAGGAGAAAGATGTCATGGAATTGATTATCTTGTTGGTCCTGAGAAGAAATAGCTCATGACCCGAAACCTGTATGTATTCAAATTTTAATAATTGAGTGTATTAAATTTTAAAGGTTTAAAAGTGATGTTCAGACATGGAATAAACTTGTGCTTGTGTGCAACACACAGGAAATATATGCTTGCCTTGTACCAAAAATGTAACTATATTTGTTATAATAATAAAGCACAGCTTCTAATCAAGACAGATATTTTTTATCTAATTGAGTTCAGTTCACACCTTCAGTAATTTCCAGTAAGTTTATGGGGAAATTATATCTTTTATACACACCCACCCCACACCCACACACATACACATATACATACACTGAGGCATGTGTGGAAAAACTCTAGTCACCCGTTGGAATGCACAAGGAAGGGGTAAACAATTTTTATCATGTTTTATTTGTGATCTAAAACAGTTTCACCTGGAGAGATGGCTCAGAGGTTAAGAGCACTGGCTGCTCTTCCAGAGGTACTGAGTTCAATTCCCAGCAACCACATGGTGGCTCACAACCATCTGTATGAGATCTGGTGCCCTCTTCTGGCCTGCAGGCATACACGCAAACAGAACACTGTATCTATAATAAATAAATAAATCTTAAAAAAACAAAACTGTTTCACCTGTAGGACACAGGTCCTTTCTTCTCTCACACACACATTAGAACTATGCTGGAATTAGGGACGACAGGGAGAAGTGTCAGCAAAGACTCCAGTTCCCTGCTGCTTCTGAGTGAGATGGGCTCACTTTAAACGTGTGTGTGTGTGTGTGTGTGTGTGTGTGTGTGTGTGTGTGTGTGTGTTTGCATGTGTTTGTGGAGACCAGAGGACCTTGGAGATGTGGCCTGGGGCTTGTCAAATAGGCTAGACTGGCAGGCCAGCGAGTCCCAGGGATTTGCCTCCTCAGCACTGGGATGACAAGTGTGCACTGCTGTGGGATGTTCTGTATGGCAAATGTGTTGCTCTGATTGGTCAATAAATAAAATACTGATTGGCCAGTGGCTAGGCAGGAAGTATAGGCGGGACTAACAGAGAGGAGAAAAGAACAGGAAGGCAGAAGGAGTCACTGCCAGCCGCCGCCAGGACAAGCAGCATGTGAAGATGCTGGTAAGCCATGAGCCAGTGGCAAGGTATAGATTAATGGAAATGAATTAATTTAAGCTATAAGAACAGTTAGCAAGAAGCCTGCCACGGCCATACAGTTTGTAAGCAATATTAGTCTCTGTGTTTACTTGGTTGGGTCTGAGCAGCTCTGGGACTGGCGGGTGACAAAGATTTGTCCTGACTGTGGGCCAGGCAGGAAAACTCTAGCTACAGTGCACTACACCTGGCTTTTCCATGGGACCTTGGGACTGGACTCAAGTCCCCACGGTTGCACAGCCACTTTACTGAGTTCTCTCCCTGGCCAGAAATTGGCTCTTTGTTTGATTTTTTTTCTTCCTCTCTCTATTATGGAGCTCTGACTGTCCTAGAACTCCATATGTAGGCCAGGCTGACCTTGAACTCACAGAGATCTACCTGCACAAACCACTACAGCCCGCCAGAAACTGTCTCTTAACATATGTATGAAATTAATTCCCTTTACATCCCTATTACATATCCAGGGACAAAGAATACAGACTTTGGCCAGGCAGTGGTGGCTCATGTCTTTACTCCCGGCACTCAGGAGGCAGAGGCAGGTGGATCTCTGAGTTCATTCAAGGCCAGGCTGGTCTACAGAGTGAGTTCCAGAACAGCCAAGGATTCACAGAGAAACCGTGTTTCAAAAAAAAACCCCCTATCCATATATATATAACTTTGGAACCAGCTGGCCTAAGTGTGGCTACAGCTGTACTATTTCCTATCAGCAAGTAACTAAACTCTAAGTCTTCCACTGTTGTACAAATATGAGATGGTTTTGTTATAAGCATTTCACATAAAGCAGCTATGAAAACGGCCACGTGTGGTGGCACACTCCTTTAATCCAAGCACTCAGAAGGCAGAGGCAGGTTAATCTGTGTGTTTAACCAGCCAGGCAAGCCAGGGCGACACAGTGAGACCCTGTCTCAAAGCAGAACAAGTGGGGTGGTGGTGGCACACTCCTTTAATGTCAGCACTCAGGAGGTGGAGGTAGGTGGATCTGAGTTCAAGGCCAGCCTGGTCTACAGCGAGTTCCAGGGCAGCCAGGGCTACACAGAGAAACCCTGTCTTGAAAAACAAAACACTAGCTATGCAAAGGTCTACCTCACTGTCTAGCATAAGTAGGGACTTAGTAAACTGTCCCTTCCCCCGGACAGGGTTTCTCTGTACAGCCCTGGCTGCCCTCAGACTCAGGTCTGTTCTGTGTCTCTCGAAGTGAAGATGTGTGCCTGGCTAGTTTTCCTTCCTCCCTCCCTGCCTCCCTGCCTTCCTTCCTTTTTTCCTTCCTTCCTTTGTTGTTTTCTAGACGGGATTTCTCTGTGTAGCTCTGGCTGTTCTGGATCTCGCTCTGTAGACCAGGCTGGCCCTGAACTCACAGAGATCCACCTGTCTCTGCCTCCTGAGTGCTGGGATTAAAGTCGTATGCCACTATTACCCGTTGTTTTCATTTTTTATTTTTCATTTTTATTTTTTTTTATGTGTAGCCCAGGCTGGCCTAGTGATCCTCCTGCCTCTGCCTCCTTCAGCAAATCCTACCAGCGTGCACCACCACAACCAGCTGTTTTTATTTTTTATATTTTTGGTTGTGAGCCTAGCCTTTAACGGCTGAGCCATCTCTCCAGCCCTGTTTTCATTTTTTAAATTATCATTGGTAAGCATTTTAGTAAGTTACTTGATGAATGAGAATCTGACAGGAAGAAACAGAAAAGTAAGGGAAATGAGAGGAGGCTAAAGGCAAACTTAATTAATTTTGGGAAGGCTCCCACATTGTTTGGGAACATTTTTCAGTAATACACAGGAAATTGATGTGAAAGGAAACGACCCCCATTCTACACTTTACAGGGCAATTTAATCTTCAAGCATTTGGTACATGTTAACTGGGAAGCTAGAGGCCGATGCTGATCTGGGAAAGGTCGGCACACAGTTGGCTCTTCCAGGCCTCATCCATGTAAAACCAGCTCCGCTGTTAAACTCCCGAAAGTCCCAGGCTTTGCCCTGAGCATAGATGCTACTTTCATTTTGTCTTCAGGATGTGAACTTGACCATGCCCTGTTCTTCAAGATTAAGTTGTTGATGGCCCTAGGACCTAAAGACTAGGCTTACTGGGGTAGAGAAAGAGGTCTCCAGGGCATTTCAAAGACTTCTCTAATAATAGCAACCATATATTAATCATACACATGGTTTTATATATATGCAGTGAGTGAAGTCCTGAGTGAATGTGTGTTGTTGACATGGGCAAGGCCATGTCAAGGACCCCAGTGTGTCAGCCCCAAGGGAGTGGCCAAGCCTTCCCTGAGTGAGGCTCAGAGGGATGGCAAAGGTTTCCTCTGCTCTGTGTGTGAATGTAGACAGTGTGTGCCGAAAATGTCCACCACAGCTTTTGCCCCCACCCCCCACATGTCTATGGCCTGAAGACTGCACCCCTACAGAGACCGTGCCTATCTGAGATTAGGTACACTTGCCTCCTTGTTCAGCTGGATGCCATAACCTGGCTTCCCTGTTCAACGGTATACAGTAAGCACTCCGAGCTTGCGGGGCAGGGTTGCGGCTTCTCCATCCAGGACCATCCGATCTCAGCTTCTCTGCCCTCGAGTCCGTGTGTTTGCTGTTTCTTTATTCCCGTGCCAGCTGTCAATCCCGAGAGCAGTGCAGAGTGAGGTACTTGGGAGAGCTGGAAGAGTGGAAGCCAAGCCAAGCCTGAGGGGACACCGGCACTGAGCCTGTCACTCGGGCAGAGTCCCCTAACTATTGGCATCCACCTCCAAAACTGTCCGGGAAGCTCCCTTCGTGGGCGTAGTATGGGCTGAACAATCAGTTTTCACCAACCACTCAGGGAAGGCTAAGGAAGACAGTGCCAATCACCGGTACCAAAACCCATCAACCCACCGCTACCAGTTTTCTCCTTCTCCACCCCACCATGAGCCAGCAGCCCCGACAAAACACTTCCACGGCAGCCCTTGTGGTCACTTCCTGAATAACCGATAGCTTAAAAAAAAAAAAAAATCTTTAATGGAATTTGTGCTCAAATAATATGTTACAACAAAAATATACAGAATGTACACAATACAAAAATATTTAGAAACCAACATTGCGGCTAGTGTTCTGTTTTTCACTCACTCAGTCCTCGGAGGGGCAGCTCACCATCGGGCACTGTTTTTAAGGCAGAGGAGAGTCAACGCTTTGCAGCCCGCCCTGGGAAGCACACAGCACTGGGTAATCCTCATTATCTGCAGACTGAATTGGACACTAGAGGAAGATCTGGGTTCGGTGAGCAATGCCTCCGCTAATGCTCTAGGCAAGAATGGCTCACATGGAAATTGAGAGTCAAAAGAGCCCCATTAGGGAGCTTTTCCTAATTAAAAAACGAGTGATGAATGGTGTCATTAGAGCGAAATCACTCTTTTTTGAAGGCCTGGTTTCCCTTCCCTGGTTTCCATGGCTCCTCTCCCCTTTAAAAGCAAGCGGGTTAACATAGCGGCTGTTTGGGGATTCCCCAGGCCAACCTACAGCCACCAGCATGAAGAGTGGTACTGCCCCCCGAATCCCAGCCCTGACTGGCGGCCACACTGGAGAGGAAGGGGTGAGGGACTCAGGAGAGTGGAGACCAGGTGGGAACTGTTGCTGGAACGGGAGGGGACCCAGGAGCAGCGCCCACCCTCCTGCTCTTGCTCCTGTGTGCTCGGCCCCTCACTTTCCAGGCCTTCCCAGGCCGTGGTTCCTCATGCTGGACCCTCAGGGGCTGTGAGTCCCAACGCCAATATAAAGGTCACTGGCCTCCCAGCCTCCGCTTGGGGATCCCAGCAGCTGCTAGTGCCAGCCTGAGTAGATTGTCTAGGAGGGGCACAGGCACTGGGTGCCTTGCCAAACTCCTGCTCTGGCAGCTGAGGCTGCCGGGAATGGGCAGCACAAGACCATTCCCTCAACCTCACTTCCAACCCCCTTCCAGATCTAACCATCTCAGTCTACAGCTACTCTCACCCTGGACGCTCACCCAAGCTCCCAGCAGCTCTTCTCTGGGGCAAAGTTTTTCACCAAAATACCTTTTTCTACAGCTTCCTTGGAGAGATGGCCATAGCATCACTGTCCCGGGCTTTCTTTCATCCCAAAGACTCTCTCCTACAGGAGGCGGAACAGACATGAAGGCTACCCCAGAGGGAACCAGAACACAGCTGGGCATTCCCTCCCAAAGGCCCTGGTGGGGCTCTGGTCTTCCTTCTAACACAGACAATTTTTCTGCTGGTCGATGATGCTCAGGAGGTGTTTGGGAGGGCCAGATGGGAAAGAGGGGAGTCGGTTATGCTAAAAGCAAGGCTACTGAGCAAGCACGCTGCAGCACACTGATGACATTCATCATTCCAGCGATCCCTTACAGACACCCTCATGTGTACATTGTCCCCACTTCCTCCCTCTGCAGGTTCTGACATGCCTGACAGTACACACGCACTCGTACACATACACACACACACACACACATACACACACACACCCCAAAACCCTGTCTCCACACCCAAAAGAGAGGCACAAAGTAGGGTCTGGGCAGTAGAGAGGAAAGAAAAGACCCCAAAGTCCAGGTAGGGCATGGATGTAGGGGTGATGGTATGAGATGCCAGCATTCACAACTCCAGGCAGGAAGAGGGAAGATTGGTCCTGGACCTTTCCCAAGGGGAACGTGGAATGAAGTTCTTTGTCTCAGGCATGGGGCCCTCACACAGATCCCCCAGGGCAAGAATATAGCATCTTCCTGCCCTGCCCAGTCCTAGGGGCCATGCTACTGTACCCATTGATAGGATCTGAGCCTGGGGTGCTCTGGGCTCCCCCAGATCAAAGCCAACATGTCTACCGCCAGAGCACCAGACCTTGAACGGCAGAGAGAACATGATCTAGCCTACAGTCAGTCACCTCTGGGCTGGGGGAGCCCTGCCTGGCTGTGGCTGCCCTCAGAACTTCTCCATATGCCAGCGTCTCTCCAGGTGGAAAACCAGGAAGAAGGCTACGTGCTCACTCTGTGGCAGTGAGAGGGGAGCACATGGGACAGCTCCTCTCACCCTCCCCAGACCTTCCCCCTGACCCCGCATCATCGGATCAGCCTCGGAAGATGACAGCAGCTGCATCCGTCCCCTCCCCCACCCCTGTAAACTGAACACATATATCCCGGTCCAGAGTCTCCTGCTCTGCCCCCGGTCTTGCTGAATTGGCGATGAGAAACTGCAGGTGCTTCCTCAGGATGCTTCTGCTTCTTCCCCTCCCCGCCTTGGTCCTCCAGTCCCTTAAGGGGGCGGTGGCAGCTTCAAGTCCAGGAGAGTGTAGGCAAAGATGTTCCAGAAGACAGCGAAGAGCACGAAGATGGTGTACATGGTCACAAAAATCCACCACAGTGACTGGTCCTGCAGTCTCTGCTCATAGTTCCTTAGAACCACCACACCCAGGGTGATGCCCACGGCCACACCGCCCAAGTGCGCCACAAAGCTTGGGTGGGGGCACGGGGGATAAGCCGATGGATGAAAGCGGAGCCACACAGCCCTACCGAACTCCATACTCACTGCAAAGGGAGGAGACAGAGAAGACATCACGGCAGAGTCCCGGGCGGGGGCTGGGGAGAGGCCGGGCACACCGGCCACCCAGTCACCCATTCACTCATTCACCGTCAGGAGACCAAGTGCAGTAATCACGGAGACAAAACTATCTCAAGAGCCCACAGGGTTTGGTGATAAATCAACCATCAATTGCATTCACAAGACCATTAAGAGCTACAGACACGAGGCAAAAAGACAATATAAAATCCATGCTGGGCACAAGGCAGGGCATTCTTTGGGGAGTCAGACAGGGCCTCTCAAGAGGAAATTTTTTTGTTTTTGTTTTTTGGTTTTTCATGACAGGGTTTCTCTGTGTAGCATTGCACCTTTCCTTGAACTCGCTCTGTAGACCAGGCTGGCTTCGAACTCACAGAGATCCACCTACCTCTGCCTCCCAGTGCTGGGATTAAAGGCATGCACCACCACCACACAGCTTAAGAGGAAATGTTTGAACTGTCATCTGAATGTTGAGAGGGGTTTTGATAGAAGACCCTAAGGAAGGCACAGCTCTGTCCAAAGGCCCCGGATTCTCTGTGGCCATGCTACATGCTGGGGCCATTTCTTCATCTGTCCATTGCCATATGGGTGCTGGGAATTGAACTCAGGTCCTCTGGAGGAGGAGCCAGTGCTCTTAACCACTGAGCCCTCTCTCCAGCCACTCCCCTTTTTAAAATTTTTCATTATAGGCGTGTGCGCGTGCGTGCGTGCGTGTGTGTGTGATGAATGTGAAGGTGTTGCTGAGTCCAGAAGAGTGCATTGGATGTCTTGGAGTTGGCGCTGGAGTTACAGGTCATTGTGAGCTGCCAGATGTGGGTCCTGGGAACTGAACTTGGGTCCTCTGGAAGAGCAGCAAGCTCTCCTAACCACTGAGCCATCTCTTCAGTCCCTGAGAGAGTAAGTATTCTTTTTTTTTTTTTAAGATTTATTTATTTATTATGCATCTAGTATTCTGCCAGCATGTACGACTACATGCTATGAGAGGGCACCAGATCTCATTATAGATGGTTGTGAGCCACCATGTGGGTGCTGGGAATTGAACTCAGAGCCTCTGGAAGAGCAGCCAGTGCTCTTAACCTGTGAGCCATCTCTCCAGCCCCGAGAGTAAGTATTCTTAGTCCTATTTTCCAGACCCAGAAGGAAACCAAGGCAAATCTGACAGATTCAAAGACAGCCCGGATTTCATCAGTGTGCCTCTCCACCTTTATTTAACCACTCGCCCCAGGAACCTCTTTCCCTTTAGGGACCAGATGTCTTCAGAGGGCCCTGCAACTCCACGGACAGCCAGCAGAGGGCGCAAAAGGAGCAGTGGGGCCGTGCTCTGGCACTATGCCAACCTGGTGGAGCTTTTCCTGCACCACCTGCTGCTGCTGCTGCTGCTGCAGCTGCTTAGACTGTTCTGGGGCCAATAAAGGAAAAGTGTGTACAAGATGATGGTTCCTCTCCCACCTCTCCATCAGTGTTTTAGCTTTTATGATTTTTTTTTTGAGCTGAGGGCCTCTACCACTGAGCTAAATCCCCAACCCTTTTTATGATTTTGTTAAAGCTTTATTTATGTATTTTATGTATATCGGTACTTTGTCTGCATATACATCTGCACACCAGAAGAGGGCATCAGACAGTCGTGAGCTGCCATGTGGGTGCTGGGAATTGAACTCAGGACCCCTGGGAAAACTCTTAACCACTGAGCCATCTCTCCAGCCCCAGCTTTTATGTTTATAGTGGTTTTTATTAAAAAAAAAAAAAAAAAAAAACCCACCACCAAGAAGGCTCTTGGTGAGTAAGGGACAGACTTGACTTTCCAAAGGTCTAAAGTAAGAGGTAAGGATTGTGGAGGTGAAATTGAGGAGCACCTTCACAGGCCTGACTCCAGCAGGGTTTGCTCTGGCTGTGTCTTCCTCCTACCATACAGCAGGTGGCTAGCCCAGGCTGAGAAACCCTTGGTGATCCCTGCCCAGCTTGGTTAAACTGTGGAGCATTAGTATTGACACATTTCAATATTCATTGAAGGACACGGGGCAGTGGTGGCCCACGCCTTTAATCCCAGCACTCGGGAGGCAGAGGCAAGCGGATCTCTGTGAGTTCGAAGCCCGCCTGGGGTACAGAGTGAGATCCAGGAAAGGCACAAAGCTACACAGAGAAACCCTGTCTCGGAAAAAAGAAAAAAAAAGAAAGAAAGAAAAGAATTACAATGAGGTCTGGAGAGATGGCTCAGCGGCTAAGAGCACTGGCTGCTCTTCCAGAGGACCTGGGTTCAATTCCCAGCAACCACATGGCAACTCACAACTGTCTGTTACAGACAGTTCCAGGGGATCTGACATCCTCACACCAATGCACATAAAATAAAATTAAATAAATGATTTAAAAAAATATTCATTAAAGGTATATTTCCTTTGAGCTGGGTGATCTTAGAACTCCCAAAAGCTCAAGTTTACACTTGTGAATTAACCCTAATCATATGCTCCGCATACACGTTTTGGAAAGTAAAGGAGAATGCGTTCTCTCCCTCCTCTCCCTCTTTACATTTCAGGATGAGCCCTGAGGTTTCAGGTCTCATTCCCCTTTCACTGTGTGTGTGTGTGTGTGTGTGTGTGTGTGTGTGTGTGTGTGTGTGTGTGTACCTATGCATGCACATATGAAGGACAGAAGACATTATATGTCCTCCTCTATTGTTCTCCACCTTACTGTTAAACACTTGTGTATGAGTGTTTTGTCTACATGCATATATGTATACTGTATGCATGCCTGGTACCTGTGGATGCCACAGGAGGGTTCATAGCCCCTGGAAATAGAGTTACAGTTGTGAGCTGTTGTGTAGGTGCTGGGAACTAAACCCAGGTCTTCTGCAAGAGTAGTAGGTGCTCTTAATTCTTGAGCCGGCTCTCCAGCCCCTCTACCCTGTTTTTTTTTTGTTTGTTTTTTTGTTTTGTTTTGTTTTGTTTTTGTTTTTTGTTTTTTGTTTTTTGAAGACTAGGTTTTTCTGTGTAGCTTTGGAGCCTGTTCTGGAACTCATTCTGCAGACCATGCTGACCTTGAACTCATAGAGATCCGCCTGCCTCTGCTTCCCGAGTGCTGGGATTAAAGGCATGCACCACCACCGCCCCGCGATCTCTACCCTGTTTTTTAAAGATGGGGTCTCTAATTGAATCTGAAGCTTGCAGCTCATTGTTTAGGAGTAGCTGGCCAGCCAGTGAGCTCCTGGGAACTTCCTCTATCCAGCCTCCAATGCCAGAATTACAGGCCTGTGTGCCGTGCTTGGCTTTTTTATGTGTATGGCAGGGTGAACTCAGATCTATCTGCTTTTATAGCAAGTGCTCTTAACCCCCAAGCCTTCTCTCCAATCCCTCGGTCCATTTTTCTATCATGATGCAGCTCGTTTCCCATCTGTCACATCCTTCAGGATCTCTCCTGCTGTAAGCCTGCAGTGGCCTTCCTATGGATGTATGATGAGGTATGGTTCTGCCTGTGCCTTGAAGGCCACCATCATCTAGCTCTTATGATTTCATTGGCTTTATTTCCTGTCACAACTATACACAGTCCCAAGTCCCAGTTTTCCCTGCCAACAAATTTTGCCAAATTTGCTTACCAAATGCTAGAATTAAAGGTGTACGTCATCAAGCTTCAGACATGCCCTCTTATGTTTGGTCAGTTGCTGAGCCCTGCTTGTCTTTTATGACCAGGCATCTCAGTCAGTAGAACTGACTTGTCCTGACTAGGGTCCCAGCACAAGCTGAGCATGGGAGTCACTACAGTTTGTGACTTTACCAAAAGTACAAGGTTTTTTTGTATGTGTAGAAGTGGGAGCAGCCTGAGACATTTTACTAGGTAGGTTGGCTTCAAAATTCACTTCTCTTGGGGCTGGAGAGACAGCTTAGCAGTTAAGACACCGGCTGCTCTTCACAGGACACGGGTCTGATTCCCAGCGCCCACATGGCGGCTCACAATTGTCTGTAACTTGTTCCAGGGGGATCTGATGCCCTTGTCTGGCCTCCCTGGGCACTGCATACATATGGGACACAGACAAACAAGCAGGTAAAACACTCATGCACCTGAAAATGAATAAACAAAGATGTAAAAAATCCAACCCTCTCGGCCCAGTTTCCCAAAGTGCTAGGATTCTAGACATGTGTCAGACCATTGGGCAAGACTGCAAGTTTTTTAAAAAAGAAATTTGTTTTTATGCTAGGTGTACAGGGGTTTTGCCTTGTATGTTTGTGCACCAGGTATGTGAGATGTCCACAGGGAAAAAAAGAGGACTTTGGATTCCCTGGATCTTGAGTTACAACCAGTTACAAACTGCTGGGTTGGTGCTGGGAACCAAACCCAGGTTCTCTGCAATGGCAGTAATAGCCCTTAACCTCTGAGCCATCTCCTCAGCCTGAAAATCCTGCAAGCTGAAATGTGCATGCACACACAAGTGCACATACAATATACACATATTCTAAAAGGTCAAGTTCACAACTCAAGAAGTTATGCAGCTATGTCTCTTGACCCCACTGGTCCCTGGGTACTTTTCTGTTTGCATACTTTTTAAAAAGTTGAAGAAGTGGGGCTGGAGAAATGAGATGGCTCAGTGGTTAAGAGCACTTATTGTGCCGGGCGGTGGTGGCACGAGCCTTTAATCCCAGCACTCAGGAGGCAGAGGCAGGCGAATCTCTGTGAGTTCGAGGCCAGCCTGGTCTGTAGAGTGAGTTCCAGGACAGCCAGGGCTACACAGAGAAACCCTGTCTCAAAACACAACAAAACAAACAAACAAACAAAAAGTACTTGTTGCTATTGCAGAAGATGTAGGTTTAATTCCCAGCACCCACATGGTCTATAACTGAGTTCTAGGGATCTGATGCCTTCTTCTGACCTCCTTAGGCACCAGGCATGCATGTGGTACACAGAAATACATGCAGACAAAACACCCATATACATAAAATAAATGTAAATAATTTTTTTTAAGTTTAAGAAGAAAGGAGCTGGGCATGGTGGAACATGCCTTTATTTATTTATTTCTTTTTTGAAGATTTGTTTATTTACTCTGTATACAGTGTTCTGCCTGCATGTATACCTGCATGACAGAAGAGGGTACCAGATATCACTACAGATGGTTGTGAGCCACCATGTGGTTGCTGGGAATTGAACTCAGGACCTCTGGAAGAGCAGCCAGTGTTCTTAACCTGTGAGCCATCTCTCCAGCTCCCAGAGTACACCTTTAATCCCAGCATTTGGTGTACAGAGTGAGTTCCCAGATAACCAGGGCTACTTAGGGAAACTCTATCTAGAAAAGCAAAAAAAAGGGGGTGGGGTGGCGGCGGGGGTGGGGGGGGTGGGGGTGGGTGGGCAGGAGTCTGGGTGATGTGGTTCAGTTGGTAGCGTGCTTATCTAGCATGCCCAAAGCCCAGCACCACATACAAACCAGTGTTGTGACACAAGAAAAAAGTTCAAGGTCATCCTTGACTCTTTAGTGAGTTCAAGGCCAACATGGGATACACAAGACAGGAGGGCTCAAGCAGGGTGAAGAGAAAGGCTTCCTCGGGTGTCCCTGCTTTGGACACATTACTGACACGCCTCACCTTCTCTTTTTTACCACAGGTTCTTGGAAGGCAAGGGCAGAACCATCTCTGTATTCTAGTCCCGCACCACTGCCCCCAACCCTGCTCCATGAATGTCCATCAGTACTTACTACAGATCAAGGCCACAGCCATCCGAAGCAGCTTAAACTGGCACTTCATGCCTGACCAGTTCTAAAGGAAAGGGAGAGAGTTCCGTCAGTTTGGGAGGAGGCCTCTCCTCTGCAAGTACACAAGAAGCCACTCCAAGAAGTACTGAGTGAGGGCTGGGGCTTAGCTGTAGAACCTTCCAGCATGGCTTTGGGATTTCGGACAATGGTAAGTTTATCCCTGTTATAAAAGGTCTTGAGCCACACAGGGCAGAGCATGTAGGTTGAGGGAGAGTGCATCTCTGTCTCCCACCTGGGATAGTGAACTCCTTGAGAGTATGATTCTTTGCTGTGGCCCATGAGTGACAAGAATTGTGGAACGGGATCCCCAGCAAAGTCAAAGTGGAACCATCAGGGTAAGGAATCATGCCCAGGAAGAATGAATGAGGATCCTACACCATCAAACTCTGGGGTCAAGTGCTCGGTTGTCGGTATCAACTGAGCCCTTCGTTCAGGCTATC